ACTGCCAGGCGTTTCTTGGCCTAGCGAGCGGTATCCTTCCGCCGGGGTCGTCACCCCTGGGTCCGTGCAAGTATTTCCCCTCAGGTCAGCGGCGCTGGAGGGGCTGTTTTTACCAACCAAGGGCTGTACAGGCCCCTCCTCGCCGCTGGGGCAAAGACCCCGCTGGGCTAGAGCGTTAATATCGACCCGGTCCCTTTAAGAGGGGGCTGGGCTCCCGGTGACCTCTCGGGATGCCCGCCCCTTCCTGGTTGCCATAGCCACCTCTTGCCAGCGTCCCAAAATGGCGTCTCTGCTGCAGGAGAACCTGTTCGAGACCCACGCGCAGGCCCCGGCCCCTAGCAAGGACTTCTACCAGCTGATCGTCACCCGGACGGAGGTGGGTGATTGCAGAAGGGAGGTTCTGCCTGTGGCCTCCGCCAGCGGCCGCCGCCAGCGCCCCCATCCCACTGACCCCTGCCCTCCGGGCTGTTGCTGCGGCGGCTCGCACGCAGATGCGGCTACTCGACGGGCTGTGGGGGCAACCCGAACCTTGGGGAGGGTCCATGGGTCTGTCACTGACCGGAGAGCCAGAGGCGGGGCTGGCAAAGGCTGTTGACTAGGAGTCTGGCAAACATCGCCAAAGGTGGGTCCATGGGCACATAGGATTCCTAAGCGTCACTGACATGGGCTTGTGAGTGTATGAGAAAGCATTGTTACCTGGGCCTCCAGGCCCCCGGCGTGCATGGGGAATTATCCAGGGAGGTGGTCAGTAGCATCACCAGATAGGATCTGAGTAATGCATTTAAAGCATCTGAGGATCCAACCTGTCCCCAGCCAGTAAGCACCTAAGGGGTAAAGCGGAAAAGTCACCAGTTGAGCATGAAAAAGTGTTCATAGAACTGGAGGGGACCTCAAGAGTCTAGTCCCCTACCCTCAAGGCAGGACCAATCACCATCTAGAATCTCATCCCTGATGGATGGCTATACAACCTGCTCTTAAATATCTCCAGTGATGGAGATTCCACAACCTCTCTAGGCAATTTATTCCAGTGTTTAACCTGCTCCCTCCCCCTCCCCCGGAAGTTTTTCCTAATTTCCAACCTAAACCTCCCTTGCTGCAATTTAAGCCCATCGCTTCTTGTCCTATCAATAGAGGCCAAAGAGAACAATTTTTCTCCCTGCTCCTTGTAACACCCTTTTAGATACTTGAAAACTGTTATCATGTCCCCTCTCAGTCTTCTCTTTTCTCAACTAAACACATCCAATTCTTTCAGTTTTCCTTCATAGATCATGTTTTCTAGACCTTTAATCATTTTTGTTGCTCTTCTGTGGACCTTCTCCAATTTCTCCACATCTTTCTTGAAATGTAGTGTTGCAAAGTCATGAGTCTGTAACATTGAAAAACATTTCACAGTTGCATGATTCTCATGTAATCTTGGCGGAGGGGGGGGAGGGTTGAAGTACAGAACCAAAGACTGTCACAAAACAGTGATTGGGTGATCAGAGAAAAGAACACAATGCTGAGAAAAGTCACAATGCTTTTCCTAAGGAAAAGCAAATTTTAAAGGAACTGGAATAAACTTGAATCTACAGGCAAGTTGGTAGCTTTACGTTGAAATATAAAACCAGGAAAGTAAAGTGGAACAGGAAGCCAATTCATTTTCAGAATCTGACAGGATAATATATGTCAAGACATTTCTTTGGTAGGTTAGTTACAATCTTATTTTTCTGGTAATGTCCCAGAATGGTTTCAAAATGAGGCAGAGAGTGTTTTAAATAATCTTGAGTGAGATTTTAAATGTCTTATTGAAACATATTGCAAAATCCTTTATCATAAGAATAAGACTGATATCTTCAAATTGATTTAAGATTAATTTCTTATAAGAGATTCTTTCCTACAAAGGATGAGACTAATTGTCACTTCTTTAAAGATTTACTTCAGTTTTGTTTCATTTTCATCTAAATTTGACAGCAGTTGATTTTGAAATTGAAGATATCACATGGAAAGTAGGTGCAAGAGGTCTGAAAATGTGTATATCAGTTTTAACGTTGTGAGATTTTTAAAAAATAGACTGGCATTTTAATTCTCTCATTGAAACATGTAGCCAAATTATTTGTCACAAGGAGGAGACACTGTTTACATTATATTCAAACTAATCCAAAATAAAAAAGATATCTTCCTCCAAATGAGCGAGAATTGGCTTGTAAAATAAGCAAACCAAAATTAAAACTATATAATTCCAAAATGAATACAATTCTAAACTTTTGACATGTCCCACATTTTTTCTTTTAGTCTTTTCAAAGGCTTCCTTCTAAAAGTGTTTCTATAGTTAATTGTTGGCTTGTTTTTGTTAATGAATGCAAAAGTATACCAGTCAACAATAGCAACAAAAATAGATACGATTTTCAAAATAGTTTCAGTTACAACTTCCTTTTTGACTTAATATCTTTCTGAAAAAAATAGTTTTGGGGCTGAAATTTTCGCTTTGGGTGTCTGTTTTTTTTAAATATTCATTAAATTGTTCATCGCTCTGCCATTTTTGGAAAAAAAATGTATTGTTACCCCTTTATGATGTAAATACTTTGTCAGTATTTGGATCCCTGAGATTTGTTTCATTTGGGTGGAGAAATTAATAATGGAGGCAGGTATTTCTTTGATGTAATCTGCTTATTTACTAGAAATGTACATTTCTGTTTCCCTAAATACAACAGGAATTAAAAGTAAGACACAGTTAGTTTGCTTATAATTCCAATTCTCTTACTATCCACCACTTAGCACAAAGAGCTCTCTCTCTCTCTCTCTCTCTCTCTCTCTCATTCTCTCTCTCTCTTTAGGCTCTTTAGGGCCATGTTCCGACTGCTTGTTCTGCTGCCTCCTTTCCTGTGTCTGTTTCTATGGTGTTTTTCACTGCTTCCCTGTAACATATACCACACCACTCTAGTCCAATCAAACCCTGTCCCCAGGATCAGAGAGACCTCCTGCCACATGACTAAAACTGACCCCAGGCTTGACTATGGCTTTGTTCTGAGCAAAGTAAAGGCCCCCATTCAGCCATCTATTCTATAAAGTAGCTCAGTGGCTCTTTACATTTTTTTCCCAAATGAAGGATGCCTGTTAATATCCACCAGAGTCAGTGAGGTTTAACCCAACCTGTAACAATATCTTATTTTAACCTATATTTTTCAGGTAGAAAGGATATTTAGGTATCCGCTAAAGAACTTCAGGTAGATATTTTTTAAAAGAGAGCAATTTGATAGTTCACATTGAGGCCAGATCTTGTAAACATTTACCTGTCTGCATACATTTAGGTATGTGAATAGCCCCATAGAAGTGAGTGGAACTTTACTTGTGTGTAAATGTTTACAGGATAAGAGTCTTAGCATTGATATATAGTTGCTTGGCATGGGTTTGAAAAAATGTTCTTTGGTTTCATATAGTTATGACTATTTGAATGTCCCAGTTGGAGCATGCACAGTAGAAAACATTTTCTTATTTCTTTTGGAATCCAGTCCTGCTCTCCTTCACTCATCTGAACACAACAGTTAATTCACAGTAACGACTTGATGACCAGTTGCTGAAAATAACTACACTTTACCTGTTAGTAAATTAAAGCCTCAATAATGCAATGACCGCTGTATGTGTTGAACCCATTGTCTTTTAATTGTGCTAGGGAGGGGCTGTGTAAAAAACACATAGAAAGACATGGCCCCTACTTGTGCTAGGGAGGGGCTGTGTAAAAAACACATACAAAGACATGGCCACCAAAATAGTGACATAGTCACTTAACTATTGGGAAGTGCTGCTTTAGAGAAGAATGTTAATATTTTCCTAATGAGCTGGACACAGAGTCCAGAAGCAATACAGGACACAATGAACCATTTTGGTGAAAGGTAGGTTTATATTCTAAACAAATGGTACAGACCATTCCTCTCTTTGTTTCCTTTTTTCCATCACTTGCCCCTCGTCCAGGTTGAATCACAGCAAGTATGTTTTTGTTCATATCCATATGAAACAATTAAACTATGAATCTGTGGAATCTGATTTTGATAAAGGTATTAGAGATATGAGTCACAGGCTGGCAGGGTGCTTTATTTGATCCTGTCAGCAGATATGAGTATCCTGCATAAAGTTCTGCTGACTAATTGTGGCAGGATTAACATACTGTGCTTCCAATCACATCTCAGAAAATTAATCCATAATATGCTCATCAAGAATAAAATCAGTAACTATATTGGATAAAATCCTGTGGTTTCTATGGAGTACATCAGATCTCAAGAAAATAAACAAAAATAATTACTGACACAGATTGTGGAGTAGCAAAAATAAGGAATTTTAGCAATTCCAAAGCCATATCCTCCAAAGTCAACCAAGATAAGAACTGAAATGTGCAGTACAGACAACGGTAAGCAATTGGAATTAAACACCCACTTGGGCAAATGATACTAGGTCATGTGAATAAGCCAGCTAAGTGTAACACATGCAAAATTCTGTGATTCATAGATGATTAAATCAGGTATGTTGGCAGTCTTACTAGCTTGTGATGTGGTAAAAAAAGGACACAGAAATTAACTATGGTCATGTGCTCCCGAGGTAAAGCCTTATATGAACAAAACCAGACAAATAAATGGTAAATATCTGGTTCACTTGTGACAAATATTCTGTTTTCACCTAGTCCTACTCTCCCTATATCAGTACTTTTCCCCTGGTATGGACATTCCATCAATCAATCAGGTCCTCATTATTGCCTCACTCGGATAATCATTTAGTTATAAAACTGACAGAGTTGTTGAATCTGGGAACCTGAGAAGCAGGTCATTAGATATAATTTAATCACGCCTTTTATATTCCATTTTTCTATGTAAGTGGATGAGATTTTCTTCTTGGATAAGCCTTTCATCTCTCTGGTGCCCTCTCCAGGTGAACACAGAAGGTCATTCCATAATTGTTCATTTTCTGCTTGAGAGCAGGTATTACCTGCCATGACCAAGTTGGATACTTATTCCTAACTAAATCTCTTCTCCTCTAACAAAGTGGATAGGCAGTAATCCTAGTTGATAGGGGCAATTGAAAGGTTGAGAAGGCAGCTGAGAACTAGGGATGTTAGAGTATAGTCGAGTAAATGATCGATTACATGCACTCCCCCCTTTGCTCCCTCTGTATCAGAGGTAGCGAGGGTGGGGGAGCAGGAGCTGGTGCCCATGAGGAGCTGGCTTTAAGTAGGCTCCCCATGAGCACCAGATCCGCCTGTCCCCACACCCATGTGCTGCTGCCTCTGATAGAGTTGCTGCAGCGCGGGGGGTGAGGGGTGCAGGCGGGAGCCAATACATCCGGGGAGCTGGCTTTTAAGCCGGCTCTCAATGCGTGCTGACTCTGTGGACCTGCCTGCCCACTCTCCTGATGCCTCATACAGAGAGAATCATTGCTAGGGGAAGCCGGCTTTCAAGCTGGCTCCCCGCCCG